AGCTGCTTCAGAAATTTATGCTTGCAGGTCAAGTCTTCAATTCCATACCAAAAATGAACAGAAATTTTAGCAAGTTAGTTTGTATTTTAAGCATCCTTTCCATCTAACTAGCTTTATGACTATTTGTAAGTAAAAGAAAAGAGATTTTAAAGGCACTAATTCCACTAGTTCAAATTTACTGTGTCTGTGGTAGTGGTAGAAATTTTCAGTGTCAACTGGAAGCCATTCAGGAAAATTGTAATGATGTGTGAGAGGATAATTTAATCTGTGCTTCATACACTCCCCAGAACTGACCCATATGCAACTAAGAGAAAATCCCTTTTGCCCTCTTTTGATGGCTGCATGATGATACTCATTCCCCATCTTTTGATGCCCTTGCATTATATCCTGCCAGAGGAAATGAAGATTTAGCAACTGCTTGTGCTATATGCAGTGTGGATGCTTTACGAAAAAGAAAAAAAAATCCTAAATGCCAATTTCCGATTATAGTTAGGCTTTGGTGGGAGTTGAGGGTGTCCTTGGGCTTTGGCTAAGTGATGTGAAGGAGTGGTGGTTTTCTGTGTTGGACATTCACGTTATAGTCTTTACTGTTAGCAAATAAAACTCTAAAGATCCTGGGTACTGTAGCTGGATACCTGAATGTATTTTTAAATTCGGTATATATTTTTACTGGGAAGGAATGTATAATGTTTCTACATTTAGTAGTAAAGTTCTTTTAGAGGTTTTTCTGTACTTAAAGTATCATATAAGAGAAGACTATAATACAATGCAACATTTACACTTCAAATTGCAAATTAATTTTGTTCTTAATTCAGTAGTGGAGAACAGCATTCCTGTTGTTCTCATTACCAGCATAGGACTCCAGCTTTGAGGAGTCCCTTATCACACTGTTTGATACCCTGTGAGATGGAGAGTGACATGGGATGATGGATTGTGCATAAATCCACTTCCATTTTGTGCTTGTGTGGTATTTGTTTAACTTTGTTTATAATATTCCTATTTGTAGAAGCTGAAGGACATTGAATATGTTGATTCCTTGAAACTTTATTTGTATGGAGAAGGCGTGCTGTTTTTAATGGTAATAATGTACAAAGAAGTTTCTATGCTAATTGTCACCTCTTGGTTTCTACAGCCTGTGAACAACGTCCTTTGATTCACTGCTGTTTAGCACAGTCCGATACATTCTGGTTGTTGCTCTTCTCTCAGGTCTATGTCCGGGTATGGATCCGAGAAATAATACTATGGATAGGTGCAAGTCTTAATGCATAGTTTGACTTTTCTTTTGCAGAAAGCACATGCACTTCCTTGTATAGCTGCTTATTACATGTAAGCAGTTACATAAGGCAGTCCCAGCGCATTGCAAACGGCTACCTGTGACACTAGCAACAGTCAGGTGCTTTATTGTAGCATGAACAGCAGTCGACTAACAGATTTTATTGTTTTCAACAGCCTTGCTAAACATATGCTCAGTTTTGATCACATTTTTTCCTAAGGTCTGCGTAGCATACAGTTTAAATCTCTAATTTAAGAAATGGCACTGGTTTTGTGTGACCCTGCAAGGTCCTGGGGATCTTGGTCACAAGAGACAACGTGATGGGCCGGGGTGTGGAAAGCCCAGAAGACCCCCATCCTCTTCCTCCTGTGGCTCCACAGTGTCACTTGTTCAAGGGCTGGGTATATGCGGGCTTACGGGTATACCTGTAATTGTAGGGAGTGTAAAGTGCTTATTTTGATTTGATTTAGCAGCCCGCGAGGTGGGTTTCTCACTTGGCTGATGCGTAGGCTGCTCTTCAGCCAGCAGAGACGGTCAGAGGATGCCGCATCCCGTGTGCAGGGCCTGACTCTTCCCTGGCCACGGGGAGCGTTTGGCTGCCCGCTCCAAGGCCTCCAAATGAGGGGATCCATCCCAGCCACTGGAAGCAATTACACTGAGCAGCATAGCTGCCCTGATGTAAAAAACTTCAGGAAAGGGGCTGCGCTGGTGAAGGGATGTGAAATGCCAGAGTCCAGGTTGGCCTTGATTTAGAAAACCAGCTGCCTGCTGGCATATTACTTAAGCTTAAGTCATGCACTGAAACTTAGGTACAGCTCTCTTAAGTCTTAAGTGCAATCTGTATTATTAATACACTTAAAATAATGCAGAGACGGCTTTGCGTGCCGCTTCTCCCGGGTTCGCTTCCAGAGTGCTCCGGTGTCGGAGCCCCTCGGCCGTGGGAGCTGCGGCAGTTGGGCCGTGTGTCTGGCTTAGAAAGAAGATGGAGGAATCGAATAGTGTAGCATCCTTTAAAAAAAAATGGGGGGAGTGTTTTATTAAGTACGACTGTATAAAGCTTCCCTATGGCTGGAATTTACATTAATGCAGTTCATTGTTCCCTGCAAGCAGATGGGGCGATAAGCACAGAGTCACGTGCGCGTTTGTAACTATTCCTTTAACCAGCATTTTTAATATGGAATGTTCTTCCTTTGATACATTTGAAAGTAAAAGTTAGTTCCCAGAGTGAAGATAATCAAATTTCCCTAGAAATTCCCTAGAAAATCCAATTTCTCGGCATTGGAGTGGAAAGCGCGTGTTTCAGGGCGCGTGGCGCGGCGCCCGGGGATGTGGGGAGGAGGGCACCGCGGGCCCGCAGCAGTTGCTTCTCCGCAACAATGTCCTTTTTGTGGGAATCCGATGCTTCTTAAAAGATGGAACATGACATCACCACGGCCGCTCCAAGAAGCATTCCTCAATAATACCGAGTGTGCTCTGGTTATCAGCTCCCTTCCCCCCGCGCCTCGCGCCCGCCGCTCTGACTGATGCTTTTTGTCTATTGTTTAGGCCGGGGCTGTAAATGCGAAACAGTTGTCCCTCAGTGCTGCGCGCTTGTTAGCGCGGCGATCAAGTGGAATAGTGTTGGCTTTTCCTAAAAATTGATTTTTATTTTTTGAAAACCTGACGGAAATGACAACAAAAACTGTTCTCCCGGGCTTCGTCCGTGTAGCTACAGGTACGGCCTGCACTGGGCTAGCGGTTCTCCTGCCTGCGCCGTGTGTTCTGTGGGAGAAGGTGGGAATCCCACAGGCCTCTCCATGCCGCCCGGGCCCACCGGTTGCTCCAAGGTTCCTCCGAGGCAGCCATAGGGATGGGAAAACCGTGCAGTGATTTTGTATACAGATCTTTTTTGTGCTTGGTCCATCTTTTCCTGGTTCCCTGAGAAGGGGCTAACATGCAAATGTGCTTTGGGTTGCCTTATGAATCTTTGTAAAACCTGCCCGCGTGGAGGAAAGCAATGGGAAATGCTGGATTTCGCTTCCCTTCTCTGCCTGCTCTCTCCTACACGTGTCTTCAGCGGAACACATGGAGAATCTTACAGGCTTTGCAGCTAGGTGTGCAGTGGCTATCGCTAGTACAACCATGTTTTGTGCTGGCAGGTATTGGAACTAACGAGGATCGAGCAAGTCTTCAGCACTTTCACGTGCTGCAGCTGGTTGAAGAAGATACCACAAAGCATAAACAGGCAGGAGTCTGGTGTTTTCCAGCCTTGTAGGAATTACTCCACGGGGAAGAGGAAACAAGTGATTCATTGATGATCTAGAGACTCGGAGAAAGGTGGAGTTTACATCCAGAAAAGGAGGGAAAATGGACAGGGATAGGGCTTTCTGGTATATCTGTTAAACTTGGATTAAATGTCCTTTTTTTTCCCCAGCTGTGAAGTTGTAAAGCTATTTCTTTTTAAAGAACAGATTTAAGATATAAAATACAAATTATAAAAGTGCTTTCCTTAGCCAGACAGAAGGATTTTGTAAAAGAAGTGAGCTTTGTGATTAGCTGTTTGCCGGGGGTGCAGAACTGTGTGTGTTGGTGACAATTTATGGAGAACGGAGAGGAAACCCCGCTTGGCAAGGCCCCTTCCTTTAAGAGGAAAAGAATGTGTTTTTCACTCGTGCTGCTTGTTTTGCTTCACCTGTTGTAAAGAGCAATAAGAGTATGCTGTAAAAGTTGTGCTAAAATCTTATTGTATAAGTGGATCGATTCCAGGACGCACGTGTTGAATAAAGGAAAGCCAAAGCACAGTGTAAACAGAAAATTTCATACTTTCCTAATGGCATCTGAAGCTGCGAGTTCCTCTGAAGAAACTGCTTGCCAGTGGTAGACTATTATAGGGGTTGTATAATGTGCTATTACGATTAAAATGTGTGTTTGCATCTACTGAATCACAGGATGCACAGGTGTGGTATGTGGAGGTCGATAACTCCTGTCTTAAATACTATTTCTTAAAAAAAATAAGAAAAAGAAAAAAAAAAAAGAGGTGGGGAGGGTGAATAAGAATCTGAAGAGGGTTTTTTAGATAGACCTCTTGAATTTAGATATGAGAAAAGGCAGGAGGGACTAGGACTCAGTCATGGAAGGAGCAGCCATAAAGATTTCCCAGTGTGCGTGCTGAAATGAGTAAAAATTAGTCACTGCCTCCTTAGCTGGAACACAGTTGCAGCAGAAGGAATGCAGAGCAGAATTAAGGAGAGGAAGATGTGGAACTACTAAATGGAAGTGGCAGTTCGTACATGTCAAACTTAGACTGTATAGTTTGTCTTGCAAAGATCGTGGCATGCATGCAGTCGAGTAGTCCATTTAAAAGAAAAGAAAAATCCAGCTGATAATGTAACAGATGACACATGTAACTCTTCAAAGGAAAGATATTGAGGTATTCTTGGCTCACTAATGACAACCTGGTTGTCACTGCAGGTCAAGAGAGATTCTCTTGATTTTCCTGTAGGTGACTGAGCGGTTGATGGAGGGCAGAATATGGTCACAGGTTGTGTTTTGAGTCTCATTTGCGTTCTGTACAAATGCCTGGCCAGTGTCACAGTTGGATTTTGATATTATCACCCCGATAGATTGTGTTGTTTTGTGCAACTGGGATTCTTGCTCTGGAAGCAGTGGAAACTGCTCTTCTGGGGCTTTGTTTCTGCCTCGTGGAGAGCGGGATAATCAGTGAAGGATTGCAATCTTTTCCTTGCAGTAATCCATGCTGAAGAGGCTCCATTCATACAGATGAACCAAGGGTTGAGGCAGCACTTTAAACCCAGATAGTCAGTCGGCTAACTGCCCAGCAGGATGCCATCGACCAGCCGAGCGGGCAGCCTGAAGGACCCCGAAATTGCAGAGCTCTTCTTCAAAGAAGATCCAGAAAAGCTCTTCACAGATCTCCGAGAGATTGGCCATGGAAGCTTCGGAGCAGTTTATTTTGTAAGTAGCTTTGTGTTAGTTGTGCTTGTTTTTGTCTTTACACACTGGACATTGACTGCTTGTACACAGTGAGAAAAAATAACTAATGTGGATCTGTTTGAATGGTCTTGGGGACAAGGATGCTTTTCTCGAGGTGTGCCTGCACAGCCTCACTCCATTCACAGATTTGTGGTACCTCTAAGTTGCTTGCAAGCAAACTGAAGGAAAAACTGGGAATTTGGTCCTTGCTTGGTAGCCTTATGTGTGTACGTTGCAAGTACAGATTTATCTGCAATTTAAAACTCATACTTGCACTCTGTCTGTGGTGGCTGGCAGCTCCTGGGCTGTGTATCTCCTTATCAGCGCTTGTCCCTGCAGAGTGATTGAGCCCTCTGCAGCCTCGCATGCCCCACGGGCTCCCCTGAAGCCACCTTTGTGTTTGGCCACCTGAATGCTGGTGCTTTTGCTATCAGCTGCCCTGTCACATCCTTTTGTGCTGCAGGCACGAATACCAGCGTTCATCCCTATAAAGCTGCTTATTTGACACAAGCTCCTGGGCAGCAGAGATTTTCCCAGGCTGTGCGTGTAGCTGGAGGTGGGAAATTTCATGGTAACTTCATTTGCAGGTTGCTGGATGTTAACCTAAGTGCATACTGCAAGACCTTCATTAAAACCCCCTTTTCCTCAGAAAATCTTTTCTCATTTATAATTATGGGAGGTGTGGCCAAACCTGCCAGTTCTCCTTCAGAAAGCCATTTGTGTCAGTATTTTATGAGATGCCTATTCATTGTTAATAATTGCAGCAGACCATGTTGGGAACCTTCCAGCACAAATTTAATGCAGCACAGATGAACTAATTAGGAAAAGCTTCTTAATTTTGTTCCCTGCTTAAAACTATGAGCAGTCTGGGAACAGATCTGAGGGAGGAAAGTGTTTTCTAAAGAAACAGGACTCACCTGCGGTCCTTTACTTAATATAATTTATTCACTCTGGCGAAAGAGTAGATATAAAAGGAGAAATGATAAATCTGCCTTGCTGCTATGTGGAAATACTACTGAAGTTTTTCAGGACTACTGTATCTAACAACAGGACTAGTGAGCCACAGGGCTGTGCAAAGCTGGCAAAGAGCTAGAGAGAACCTCCCTACAAGTTGTAGGCTAATGGCTTTAGCAAACACGGGCAAGAAGCTGCATTTGCAGCGTCTGTTGACTGTCTTCCTAGTGTTTGTAAGGGCTGACTGCCCATTACCAGCTCCTTTTCCAAGCAGATAAGAAAGAAGAGGTTGTTAATGGTCTAAAATGGTGGAAAATAATTCAGTGTAGGCCAGCATTCACTAAAGAGCAGGTCTACCTCTTCTCCATTGAGATGTGGCAGAAAGTAAGTCACTTGCAAAAAGTATAAACAATCCACACTACCCCAATCCATGGGGCAGGGGATAATTCAGCCATGTAAGGGGGTGCTTCCTGCGAGGAAGATACATTGCTGGCTATTTATTATGTCTGTGTTCTGATACTTTACCCTATGAATTAAAAAAGTACAGAATCTTCTCACTGCTCCAGTTCCAAGACATCTCGAATGTGAAACTGTTCAACATACTTCACGTGTCAAGCATAAACTCAAAAATGAGAAAGGCAGCGTGGAAAGAGAAGTTCAGTGTAAATGAAGAAAGTAAAAATAAATTAGAGAAATTAGAGGAGGGTATATTTTGGATAGTTTTACAGAAGAAAAATGAACGTGGGAGGAATCTCTTAAATTTCTTAAACAAGGTTTGAATCCAACTAATGTAAACTATTAAACATTTTTTAATCAATGTGATATCAGATTATAATTAATAACTGTTTAAAAGCATGTTGCCACAGCTGATGTGCTTCACCTATTCTTTGCTCATGCAGCTCTTGTGTTACTGCACAAGTTGCTATAGTCACCTGATTTTGATCCTTTGTGTGGAGTTCTCAGAGGAAAGCAGGATATGTGCACAGAAATGTCTGTCATTTAAAAGAGCTTGGTTTGTTTGAATTGTTTAAATTAGCTGGCCTTGTGACATCTTCATATCTTTTGTCTAGGAACTGTCTTTTTTTAGCTGTTCAAGATCACAAGAAACATGGGGGGGCAGGAAAAGCCAACTAAGCTCCGTGGTTTTAGCAGCCCTGGCAGTCTTGGCCAGGGCGCTTCTCCTTTTGTCCAGCCATAGCAATGAGGAACTGTAGGTGTTATACAAAGAGTCTGTGACTGTTTGCCCTTTTGTTTGTTTGTTTGTGGGTTTTTTGTTTGTTTTGTTTTGGGGGGTTTTTGGTATTTACCGCTGCCAGTCTGCTTCATTGCGTGCAGGCTGAATCTTTTTTTTTATACATATATATAATAAATAGATGTGGGAATAATAAATAAATAAAACAAAAATCCTGAAATATTCAATTTTTTAAAATGCAGTTTTACTGTTAGTTATACTTTCCATTCTTTCCCTTTAGTGATCCCTGAGGCAGGGGCAATATGTTTATTGTATGTGATAATTGGCTAAGGCTGTTACTATTTTCCTCCTTGTTTCTGTCACTGAAAAAATCCCGCATTGGCAGAAAGTTTCTTTCTTTCTTTTATAATTGACATGAACTACTAGTTCACCTCATGGTTTTAGTTTCTTAGAAATTGCAAGTCTGGCACCTCGGAATCATTTTGGTATTATCCTTGCCCTGCTCCGTGCTCTGCAGTGTAATAATAGCTTTCATTTGACACAGGAAACCTACTGTACCGAAATACTGCAGATGGAGCAGAAGAATAACCCCACTCTTTTGTTACAGCTGTGCTCCTTCTGCTCTGCTATTCTGTTTGCTGGTTTATTTGCTGGCTGATTTGAATGTTTCAGAGCTGGCCTCTAAATAGTAAAGATCTAGGAGTTAGGATTGTATTCTTCCTTTTATCTCAAAACAAAATCCTCAAAATCTTTGTTCTATTGTAATATTAGCAAGAAGGTAGGAAAGATTCTCTCAAACAAAAGGAATAGTCTTGGTTCAAGCTTGTCCTAAGGAAACTTGTTGAAATAAGGACCAACAGGGATTCTGGGAATCTTTAATGAATGGCAAAATTAAAATATTGACTGAAACGTTTTTACAAAAGATAGAGTCCTAGTACTTCAATAATCCATGCTCTGACAGACTGTATTTGATTAAACAGAAATCCTTAACTATCAGCATTTTCCTCAGTGCTGGGATGTACACAATTTGGATCTCTGTTGTCTGGCTTTGTGTCCCAGTTGATGGTGCTTATCAGAGACTGGGAGCTTGTTTCCTTGTCCACCACCCAGTGCTGCAGAAATTCCTAGCAGGAGGTTGGCTGGGATGCTGCTTGGGAGCATCATTTTTGCCAGGTGAAGTCACACCGTCCCTCTTCCTGCAAGGGCGAATGAGCCATCGCTTTGGAGCTAAATTAATCAGAACTTCTTGTCTTCTCTTATCTTAGGTGATTATCATCTGAAGTCAGGAAGTCTGCCTTTGAAGTGTGAAAAACACATTCGCTTGTTTTGCTGTATAAGCAGCAATGCTGTTGGACAGCAAAAAAAAAAATTAAATTGGAAGCTATGCTTTAGTCACAATTTCTAAGAGATAGCACATTCACCCCACTTACATGTTTACTTGATCCATGCTGGTTGGCTTTTGCAGAGAATTAAGGATTTCTTGCTGCTTTCTCTACAGACATAAATTCCTCTGTGTGTGTGTGTGTTTGGTTCCCATCATATTTAAGATGTGAATAAACTGATGCATCATGTTTTAATATTACAGGCACGTGATGTGCGCACCAATGAAGTGGTGGCCATCAAGAAAATGTCCTATAGTGGGAAGCAATCCAATGAGGTATGTGGAGCATCTTGTGCATCAAATCTGAACTCTTGCAGACACTTCTTGTATGGGATGATTTTGGTTAGCCTGGGCTGCACAGCTGCAGGGGTCTTTCCTATGGCAGCAAAGGTGAATGAGAGGACTGTGCAAATAACACCCATTTGTCCCTCTGTTTGCAGCAAAATTCTGCCTAGGCTCCTGTTGGAAAAGACACGTTGCTTTTGGATATACAAGACTGTTTTATGGGACCATTTAAATGTACAGAAAATAAATAAATTAATATATTTGTGTTGGAGATACATTTTTTAAAAAAGGTCTTTTTGCCCTTAAACATTCCATTCTATTTTTTTTATTTTGCTGTTATTAATGAAGTAGTGAAAGATTCGGCAGGAATCTTGTTTGTATGAAGTAGTAAGGCAGAATGTCTCCTCCCCTGAAGTGACTCTGCTGATGAGGAGCTAAAACAAAAGCAAAGCAGCAAGAGTGAATGAATGAATTTGACATTCTGAACAGTAGCACAATTATAGAAGAACTGCCAGAGCTAGGGAATTGGGCAGTCTTTGAAGAGTTAGCTATAAAAGCAGGCCTCTGAGACTTAAACATTAAATGTTTTCATGGCCACCCCAGTTATCTGGTTTTTCCTAGGACACTTAATAGAGATAATTGGTTTTATGCTTCAGATGTTTAAGTGCTAATATAGGTTCTTGAAAACCCAGCGTGACTTGAAGTTGAGCAGCTTGTTTGCTATTATTTCTGGTAGTGACGTGTATCAGGTTGTGGAATCATGTTTTTAATAAAAGCAAGCATGTTGTTCAAGGCCCTTGTGGTTCCTGCCCTCCATTCTCTGTGTTCCACTCTAAGTATCAATTCTCCTCACTTTCTGCACATAACTTGTGCATATTGATCATCAACACCACAAGGAACTAACATATTATTTCCTTTCTGCGTGCATGTAGTGGGGGGTGATAGTGTCTTCAGCAATCCTAAATTCTAGCTTCACAGTTAAATCTGCTGTACATGTGTCTATTTTGTCACTGCAATGGCTTGTTTAACCACGTACTGATGAAAGAATAATTTGTACCTACTACTTTGTCCTACTGTTTTAATTGCTATGAGCTATAAATACCACATTCACATGAAACAAACTGTGCATGCTTCAGAAATAGCTTTTGTTTGTCTTCAATGCTCATGTGTCTTTATTTTGAAGAAAATATTCAAACCAGGATTAAAACACTTTCTATTTTATTTCTGTATTTATTTTGTTCAGAAGTTTGCTAGTGTTATGATCTAGCCTATGTAAGTAACATTGATTAAGGACATTTCAGTATTATTTATATTTACTTAGTTTCATAATAAGATTTTTATCTTTCAGAGCAATGGTTCCTTATAAGTAAAGTACCTATCTCATTCCAAAAATAAGTGAGGGAATTTTATACTATGTAGTCCTGTGTTCTTAGTGTGATACTGAAGCTCTTTTAATTTCTTTTAAATTTCCTGCGTTCAGAAACGGAGAAATGTTACCAAAAACTTAATGTTTAGCAGCTGACAAATGGAGCCCCATCTGATGTAATGTAACTCATGGGGTAGATCTTTACGTCTTGCAGAGTAAGTGAGAGACAGCTGATCCTGCCAAAGGACACCTTTTGTCATCTGCGTCTCTTGTGAGTTGGGATATGTTTGATTTGACAGCAGAAATGGCAGCCCTTAGAAAGGGATTGCTTCTTTTTTGAGGACTTGCTCAGGTATCACACGTTTACCATTGTATCCTATCCATACGTATAAATAAAGAATACTACATTGATAAGAGATCTTATTTTGGTAAGACTATTTTGTGAATCTGTTGAAGAGTAGAGCAGTGAACATCACAGTGTGCATGTCAGTTTAATTTCAAATCTTAAGATGGTTTCTGACTAAATAAACAAACATACTTCACCGAGAAAAATACGGTAACAGTTTTGTAAAGTCTTTCTATTTCTTTTCTACAGAAATGGCAGGATATTATTAAAGAAGTCAAGTTCCTCCAAAGAATAAAGCACCCTAACAGTATAGAATACAAAGGCTGCTATTTGCGGGAGCATACGGCATGGGTAAGCATCTACTGCGCTCTGCACTTGCCTTGGTTAAGGGCACTTTAAATAAAATATCTCCAGCTGCCTCTCAAAAGGCACCTGAGCATTTGCATGGCACAGACACACAGAAGTGTAGCCAAGGACTCAGCAGAACTGAGTGTAGTTTTTGGAAACAAGATTTGAGGAAATTTCCCCTTTCTTTTGCATACTGTGGTGATTTATACATTGTTATTTCAGTGTTTTTAGCTTGATGGATGGTTTATTTTTAAAAAAATCCTATCGGCAAAATATATATATATATATATCTCTGTCACAAGTGTGGCAGTTTCATTAGATACTTGCAGGTCGTGTAATGGCATATTTGGTGTGCTGCTGCATTCGTTAATGGTGACTCAGTAATTTACAGGACAACCGAATGTTTTCCAGAACTAAATGGTCAGTTGTATTTTTAACGGAACAGAAAAGTTTCATTAAAGTAAACCCTGAATTCCCACTAGGTACATGTATATAAAATAAGCAATGTAGTATGTAGCAGGTTATGGCTGAGTGCTGCCTTCCTTGGCAACTTTCTTACTAAAAACCTTACGCAGGAAGGCTCTGCCAGCTTCAGTGGGAGCTCTCCCTGTGCGAGGTGTCAATATGATAGTGGCAGCATGGGGCTTTTATTATAAGTAATTGCATTGTTATGGCTGAGTTCTGTTGTTTTCCAGCAAAGTTGAGCTTACATCAAAAAATGTGTGTCTGTGTGGTTAGACCAGCAAATCTTTTTATGGTAGGGACAGTTTGTGCCAGCAAAAAAAAGTGTTTTTGTTGATACAGCATATGCCAGTTATCTGAGCAGGGTAAACCATATCAGCCAAGGAGCTTTTATGCTGTTATAACTAATCTGTGCTAGGATTTTTGCTTGTGTTGAGTAGTTGAAGGAAAAGCACATCAGAACTGGCATTGTCACGCTGGCAGAATTTTTCTAGAAGAGTTCCCTTTGCTTTAAAGGACATATTATTGTGTTTGTTTTGCTAAACATATAAACGTAACTTGCTACTTCTAATGAATACAATATATTCTGCATGTTTTTCCTCCTTTCCTCTTGTATAAGAGCTACATATCTAAGCATACAGAGCTTATAAGAAGGCAGTGTAGTCTACTCATAAAATGCTAACTTGGGATGAAGTCGTGTCCCTTCCTCTTCCTCATTGCTGGACATAGGGCAGGTTCAATGTAAATAACGTTGTATACACCACTGATAATCTAGAAATCTGGTAAACGTGTTTACTGATAACGACTTTCTAATAACTATTTTGATTTCTTCTCATACAGCTTGTTATGGAATATTGCTTAGGATCAGCCTCAGACTTATTAGAAGGTATGTCATGAACATTTATTTAATGAAAATTCAGAATCATTATACTGAAATAGGAGGTTGTAGAATCACTGAATTGTTCCTGAATATATGGTTTTATTTTGGGTCAGGGCTCCTGTATGAACAGTGACAGTAATTCAAAATCTCATAATATTCCCCTGTAGAATGTCAGCTTTCCTAGGTGTGTGGTTTATCTTTGTTTCATGTTATTTTAAAGCAAGTTGTCAGTCAGCTATTTGTTTTCTTTTGAGTTTCTCCTGTCATGACAGTTCAAGATTTATTTCTGAAAACCTTTGCTGTTGATCCTAATTCTTACTAACAACTGTAGTCCTGCTGACTAAAATAGTTCTGCAGCAGTATTGGGGGTTTGTTCGATGAGGTCTTTTGTTAAATGGTTGTTTTTTTTATCAGGCTGCTTGAAGTGAACTTTTTCTTTTTTTTTTTAAGATATGTGTTTGGCCAGTAAGTTATCTCCTTTTCTTGCCAGAAGCATTTTAGGACAAAAGGCTGAGCTGCACAGGAGTCACTTGTATTGCAACAATTTATTAATCTGTGTGTGACTTGTCATGAAGTTCTAGGGTTTCAGATTTAACTATTTTAAAGAAAAACTGAATATTGAGTCTCAATGGGTATTTGGGAGAATGATCATGGAACTGATGAGAATGTAGTCTAAAATTGCAAGGTAGTCACTCTCTTGTTTGATAGTAAATAGGTGCTGTGTTGCAGTTAGATTTTTATCTCGTTATAGAATGTGTGCTATGCAGTGAACTATTTCTAAACTGTACTTTTGATTCTCATGCTGGACCTAGTAAGATGAAAGTTTAGTTTTTTCTCTGTTTGTGCATTGTTAACGGCGCTCACTGCATGTTTGCAAGCTGCATTGTTTTCTTTAATATTGAATTTCAAATAAATTCTTTCCTTAAGTTCATAAAAAGCCATTGCAAGAAGTGGAAATAGCAGCAATTACCCATGGTGCTCTCCAGGGATTAGCATACTTGCATTCTCACAATATGATCCATAGGTAAGTGGTTATAGATTTGCTGTGTCACGCACTTGCAGGTAATTTACCTTGTTGATCGTATCCCCTTCATCATAAGTTTAATGTTTATAAGCAAATATTCTCTTCTTGCAGTGCCCATATGTTCCTGAATTAGTAATTTATAATAATATTAAAATACTAGCAAGCTGTGTATCTCCTTACGTAATATCTTTTACATCTGGTGTTCATAATTTCCATGGAAGCGCTTTGAAATAACTAAGCTTTTCCCTGCCTGATACGACGCGGTGCTGATTGCCCCTTGAAGCAGAAAATAGCAGGGCAGGCTGAGTGCACAGTTTACCTAAAACAGCTCCTAGCAACTTCGGTGCAAGGATTGCTCAGTAAAGGGGAAAAAATGCTAATATTTACACAAACAAAAGTTTTAAATGAAGATACGTTTTGAGAAATGCACAAGTTGGACATGCAAATGTTCCTGATATTTAGAGTGTCTGCTGAATTTTAGTATGATCAATAGCACGTCTTGTAGTCTGTCCTGTGGAAGATGTGCTTTATTGGGCAGGAATAATACCAGCATTTGTGTTCTATAACCAGAGATATCAAGGCAGGAAACATCCTGCTGACAGAGCCCGGCCAGGTGAAGCTTGCTGACTTCGGATCTGCTTCCATAGCATCTCCTGCCAACTCCTTTGTGGGGACGCCATATTGGTGAGCTAAGTGTCCTGCACGTTTTTGCCTTTGCCATTAATGTGTCACTCACTGGGTGTTCAATGCACTTGGGCACTATTAGAAGAATTAGCTTTGTGATCCTCCAGTAGCTGTAGTGATAAAATGTCCTTTGCAAAAGCAAATAGGAATTGGGTTCTGCCTTCAAGAAATTGTGATTCTGTGTATTTACTCTTCACAAAAAGTCATAAAAATATTTTGCTGTTCTACTTGCTCTGACTTTTAAGTGTTACAGAGGTGGGATTTAATTATCGATAATATATTTTAACCACTCTCCCCAGTGGTCTTAGCAATTCGTATATTCTCACCGTGTCTGGCTGTTGAAATAACTGCGGTGTTTTTTCTTTCATAGGAAAGGCCAGGTTCATTGAGCAAACCCCTTTGCAGATCCCTTGTATGCTTTTGATCTCTTGCACCTAATCTGTGCTGTTTACACAACTGCATGCTATAATTACTTCACCAGAGCCGACCAGCCAGCTAAACTGTTGGAAAGGTGGGAGGGCCGAAGGTGGTAACTCATAAACTGAGTTGGGCAAAGCCCAAGAAAACACTGTGCAGGCTCTTTATAGGCTTGTACTAGTGTGGGTGCCCAGCTGTGTGGCATTTTAATGGTTATCCACACAAGAACTGGTCTTTGTTCACAGTAACCTGTGTTCATGCTTGATATCTTGGCGGAATGCTTTGCTTATGGTAGATGGAATTAGGGAAATTCACCGAAATACTGATGTTGATGGTGTGTTTCAATGCACAGAATTTTATGAGCGCCTATTTCCTATTTTAGGATGGCCCCAGAAGTAATTTTAGCCATGGATGAAGGGCAATATGATGGCAAAGTAGATGTTTGGTCTCTTGGAATTACCTGTATTGAGTTAGGTAAGTTATTTTCTTTGAAAATTATAGAATTGCTTTATTTAATATGTAGAACTTACTCTACACTTGAATTCAAAAGAATATCCATGCTTTCTTCCCTCTCTGCTTTCTTTGGGATTGAAATTTTGGAGAAGAGGGCTAAATGAGTTCCCCAGAATTCAAGACCAAATCTCCAGTTTGATATTGATTGAATTATGTTTTTATTACGCGAAGCAAAAGATCTATACAAAAAAAAAAGCCAAATGCCATCACTAGAGGTGTTCACATTCTGTGGTTGAGGTAATTAACTTTTAAACTGAAAAAGTCTTGTGGAACAGCCTTAGAAATCAACTATTAAAACTACCAATGTGAAAAAAGATTTAGTGGTAAAATGGTGATATTGTTTGCATTTAAATTTGGGAAATACCGAAGACTTCTATTGCTCTGAAGTTTAAGACAGCTTCATAGCTATGTTCAGTGTATGTTGTCATATGCTATTACGTTTGGCAGGAAAAATCTCTTAAGAAAAGTTTGAAATGATCCAGTTTTTGAAGTGTTAACTCTTAGAGGAGGGTAGGAGGGGAGGATAACATCGCCGTTAGAACAGACTCCTTAAAGCAAAACGTCGGCTTAAAAGGGCTCTATTAGCATGGCATTTTATGTAAAAGTGATGTGTAATGTTTTCTTGGGACGCAAATACACTCAGTAAAGCACAGCTGAGATTCACTTCGTAGGCAAAATGCAGCACTCGAGCCGCTTCGCTCCAAGTTCCTCTTGGGATGGTGAGGTTGGCTCCTGCTCCTGTACCTGAGGCTGTCCTGCCATCCTTGTCACCTCCTATTGCCCGTGCTCCAAAACAGCCTTGACGGAGCAGCCTGCCGGCGCAGCGCGCTCCCGGGAACACGCTAATCCATGTGAACTGCACAGTTTAGCTAAAAATGCCGTCTGGCATTCCAAACTGTCAACTTCATTTTCTTCCAGGACGTGAAATAGATTCTTGCTTCAGAGCAGTGATTTTTTTTTTTGCTTTTCCCCTCCTTGCCAATATAAAGCGGTCGGAGGGGTGTGACTGTCGTGCCGGGCTCCCGCTCCGCGCGCGCTCGGGCGATTTGGCGGCGCGGCGGCTCC